GACACCTAGATCTCCCCCCCTCCCCGCCCCCCCCTCCTCCTGCTGCTCCTGCTCCTCCTGCTCCCCCTCCTCCTCCTGCTCCTCCTCCTCTGTTTTTGAGACAAGGTTTTCCTGTGTAACAGAGCCCTGGCTGTCCTGGAACTTGCTCTGTAGACCAGTCTGGCTTCAAGCTCACAGAGATCGGCCTGTCTCTGCCTCCTGAATACTGGGATTAAAGGCATGTGCCACCACCATCCAGCTAATTCAGTTGATTCTTATTTTGTGACACATTAATCAAATTAACATGTGTTAATAATTAACATATGCATTGTGAGAGCTTGAATGAAATGCACCACTAAGTCCTGGGTATTTGAATGGTTGGCTCCCATTGAGGGATGTTTGGAGAGCTTGCTGGAGAGTGTGTGTCACTGTGGACATGGGTTTTGAGACCCTCCTCCTTGCTGCCTGGAAAGAGTCTGCTCCTGGCTTCCTTTGGATGAAGACGGAGATCTCTCAGCTCCTTCTGCATCATGCCTGACTGGAAGCTGCCATGCTTCCACCTTGATGGTAATGGACTGAACCTCTAAACTTGTAAGCCAGTTTCAATTAAATGTTGTCCTTTATAAGAGCTGCCTTGCTCATGGTGTCTGTTTACAGCAATGGAAACCCTAACTAAGACAGCTAATGGGCATTTTAAAAGATGCCCAAAACTGCAGCTCATCAGTGAATTTTGAATTAAAGTATGGATAGGCAAGCTTTCATTAAGAGTACACTACAGGGCTGCAAATGTGTGAGGAAATAGCTGCTCTCAGATGCCAGAAACATCTGCTAAAACTCTAAGCATGTGTGTATTTCCTTTGACCCACTAACTGGCTTGGAGAAACCCAGCCCACAAGAATGAACACACTCATAGACATTCACTGAAGCACTACATTTTTTTTTTGACAGCGTCTCACTTTGCAGCCTAGGCTAGCCTTAAACTAAACAGTTCTTCTGGCTCAGATTTACAATACTATTTTTATTTATTTGTAACATTTTATTCATTTGTCTTGTTAGCATAATTAATTGTACAAAATGATGTCAGTAACTTTCACTGCTATCATCCCCTACAGAAACAGCCACAGAGGAAAAGGTTCTATGTGGCTTCTGGTGGGAAGGTAGAGCGGTTTGGGTTCTGTCTGTGGCAGCAGGCACCTCTGCCTGCTTCTTCATGTGGCAGCTAGGTCAGGCAGCAGAGAGACCATTAGAAGCCCGACTGGATTATAACCTCCCCACCCACTGACCCACTTCCTCCAACATTGCCCCACCTCTCAAAGGTTTCATTACCCCTGGATCACTACCATCAGGTGGGGCCTAAGTGTGCGAGCCTGTGGGGGATCTTTTCCATGCAAACAGGAAGATGGTCTTGTCAAGATATTTTCATACCTTACACAGGTACTGGTGTGCTTGCTCACATCCCCTGTACTCTCCACGCCTGGCCCCTTCCCCTCTGTGCTGGCTCACTTCTTCCCAAACTGTCCCTATTCTTTTGTGTCTTAGACGGCTTCATGTTTCACCCTCAGGAATGTTGTCTACCTCCTTTGAAGTGGGGTCCCTCACTGACCTGGAACTTACCACTTAGGCTGGCTAGACTGGCTGCCCAACAAGCCCATCCTCCTGTCTCCACCTCCCTAGTACTGGAATTACAAGCATGTGCTGCCATGCCCAGAATGTTTACATGGGTTCTGAGGATCATAGTCTGGTCCTCACACTTGCAAGGAAAGGGCTTTCTGGACTGAGCTCTACTTCCATTGTCTGTGTGTGTGTGTGTGTGTGTGTGTGTGTGTGTGTGTACCACCACACCACACCGGGCTCTACCTCCCTCTCTTCTCTCTCTTCTCTTCACTTCACTTTGAAGACCTCCGCAGAAGGGAGACCCTCACTCAAGTCTCAGAAAGTCGCGACCACCCAGTAATCTGCTCGAGACACTGTGTACCAGAGCAATAGCGAGGTTGGTTTATTAGGGTGTGTGACAGCTAGCTGCTGGTCAATTCGTATGCCCACGCAGGAGCTGAGTTGACACCAACAGCCAGTTTGAAAGGGGTTTTTAAGGGGAAAAACCACAAACCAAGGAATGGGGAGGGGGACAAGGGGTTGTTAAGGTGGCATAACATAAAAATAGTGGAACATTCCAAAGGAACCCAACCTACATGAGTCAGGGTCAGGTGAAAACTCTCTGTACGCTTATCTTTCCCAAGAATGTGGTCCTGCCCTGTTACTTCAGCCTTGCCCTGTCACTGCGGTTCCCACCTTGGTTCTCAGCTTGGTTCCCAGCTTGGTTCTACCTAGCTCACCTGCATTCTTTCCTTTCTCTTTGCAGTCGGCCAGTTCCAAGTAATGGTGACTGTTCTTTCCACAT